GGGTAATTGAAGGGTGCGCTCGCTGTCGGGGCAGAGACCGGTAGGCCGGGTGGTCGCGAGTGCGGTTGGAGGGGGGCAAACCAGCGGTCACGAAAAGCGGTCGGCTGGCCGTTCTCATGGACGGCGGCCGGTTTTCCATTTCGGGCGATATCATGCGAGGGTGCGATTTTTGGAAGGCCGGGCCGAAGTGGGTTTGGAGGTGTGCACAACAGAATGCAGGCTTGCAAAACGCGTGCTACTGTGAGTTTGCCCTCGAAATGGAAAAACGAAAAACGAAAAAAAACACAAAAAACAACCACGTTGTTGCCGTGCTAAGTGGAGCGTGGCGACGTCCCGAGATTGGGTCCGTTTCAAGAGTGGTGTGCCCAGGCCCGTCCACAATCCTTTTCGTTCGGTGCGCTTCAAGCCCTGCCCGCCGGCCGCTCTCGCTCCCAAGTGGCTGCGCTTCGGCGCTTGCGCGGTACACAGTTCAATGGTGTACCCCTTGAGCTAGGCTCTCGGGTATGAAACAGGTTTGGAAGTGCGCCCTCCACTGTTTCGGTTGGTGTTCCCTGCGGTTTAGTAGTACCGGGTAGTAGTAGTGGGGGTGTAATTGTTGACAACATCAGGGGTTAGGTCCCCACTTACACGAATTAACCGATATTGATCGTAGATAGCAAAGATCAACGGCCAGCATCTCTTAATCCGTGCAAGTGGGACCTTGCCCCAGCTCCTCGCGCTCATTACGTCCTCGCCCTTTGTACACGCCGCCCGTCGCCCCTACGCCGATTGAATGGTCCGGTTTCGGAGGCCAGGTCCCACTAGCAGCGTTGAGTGTCCTCAAAGCCTGAATGTGGACGTGTATGTGAATATGTGCAGAAATCGCGTAGAGTTTTCTGAACCGCACATCTCCTCGAACGCGTCCAGATTCAAGCGTTGAGGAAACTCAACGCTGCTACTGTAGTGGGACCTGGACCCGGTGAAGTGTCTGTCTGGATTGCGGTGATCTCGCCGGTTTGCCGCTGGGGCTGCTGTGAGAAGTTCATTGAACCTGACCCTTAATATCTTCTTCTTCTTCTTCTTCTTCTTCTTTTTTTTTTTTTTTTTTTTTTTGCCCAAACAACACGCGGGCCGAGGGCTAGTGCCCAAGGCTTATATTCTCATCATATCAGGTGTCAGGGGCAAGGTCCCACTTGCACGGATTAAGCGATTCTGGCCGTTGATCTTTGCTATCTACGGTCAATATCGCTTAATTCGTGTAACTGGGACCTAGCCCCAGTTTAGAGGAAGGAGAAGTCGTCGTAACAAGGTTTCCATAGGTGAACCTGAGGAAGGATCAAAACACGAACACGAAAAAAAAAAAGAAAAAAAGAAACGGAATTGTTGACAACTATAGGGGTACGTGGGTAGTGGGAAGTGGACAGGGGGAGGGGTGAGAAGGGGACGGGGGTGGAGCCTGTCTCTTATACACATCTAGATGTGTATAAGAGACAGCTCCAATACTGTGTGAATGTAGAATGACCCAAAGTACAAACTCTGGCTGGGGTACACCCCAGCGGACTGACTGGACTGGACTGGACCGGCTGGTA